ATCGACTTAATGCTTCGGCATTGACATCAGACGAAGAAGGTAATGTCCGATGCATTTCTTTCTGATATATTAAACATGAATATTAGTTTGTAGTTGTTACCTACGCTGAATTTGTTTCAATAGTGTAGTCTCAAGAAGATTATTGCATCTCGACTCATATTATTTACAAGAAAAATACTTCTTCACTTAGTCTTATTGAATAGTGACGAAAGAATATAAAGTATAGAACGGCGAAGAGAAAAGCTTGAAGAACGTTCAAGTGCAAGAAAGCGAGCAAAATAACAAGAGGATTGAGAAGAAGAGACAGAAAGAGTGTGAGAGAAGAAGAAAAAGAAAAAAAGAAAACTACCATCAATTTTTCTTCTCCTTCTTCGTTTTCCTGTTGATCTACGTCCTCAACGTCGACGTCGGGTTCTGCTAGAAACATCGAATTATTACAGTTTCAGCACATGCACGCATCCTCTTTGTATTATTCATCCTTTTAGGATGCGCCATGCAGAATGAATATTTCTATTAGTGTTGTCGTTTGTCATTCTGATTTTTTTTGTCTAGATATTTTCTAAACACAGACGTCATCGCTTTCTTCAAAGGAACCCAATCTCTCTTTGTGATTTCGCGATAAAATAAAACAGAAAAAAACATATAAATAACAATACAAAGAGCTTTTCATCTGTTTTCGATGTAACACATACTATATATTGAGACAGTGTGATAATAAATTGAATAGACTCTTGATGAATCTTGGATTTCTTCTTTTCATGTATTCTTTGTAAATAACGGCATCGTAGTGCTCCATTCTAAACTAATAATCTTCGTCTAGGTTCATATATTATTAAACGAGTAGATTCAGTTCATTGGTTAAAATACAAAGAGGAATTATTAGAAACTTATAAATATATCTGCATGAAAATACTTTTTCTCTCTCTATATATATATATATATATATTACAAAAAAACGCAAGCTTCAGTGTAAATAGAAGATTATCATTAGACCTAGAGCAGTATATATATCATAGAATTCTATATTTAGTAAGAAGCTGATCAAAATGGTGGATACGCTATATAGTTTCATGAGAGATTATAGGATGGTGAACTCTAGCAAGCTCTGACAGATGAAGTACTTTTCCTACTTATAAGTTTACTGTCTCTTTTAGTTAGCTATGTCAACAAAACAGACCTAGATGAGAGAAGAAAATGAAGTGTTGTGAAGATTTTCCGGAGATCGCAAAATGGAATTTGTGCATTTCTGGTTTATTATCGATAATGCAGTTTGTTATTTGCGTTCGATCGATGTTGATAAATATTTTCGATTAAATCTGGTGTGAATGACGGAAAATGATGTCTGTGCTTTATTACAACCATGGAGAAATAAATTGAGTGCTAAGACGAAGAAACAATATTAAATATCAAATCTGTATGTCATGGACTCCAATGACTCTAATGACGAACAAGAAATACAAAGAACACAAAGAGACGAGAATGGTATTGGTTGAGATGCGAACTCAAAGGGATAATTTTCGGCGACCGTATGAACTGTGAAATATCGTTTTGCAACAACTGGAATGATTCTAGAGAGGAGAGTGTGCCCGGGTAGCTCAGTCGGTAGAGCGTGTGGCTTTTAACCACAATGTCCAGGGTTCGAGCCCCTGCTCGGGCGACTACCTTTTTTCGTGGAGATCACGTATTTTTTTCTGAAAAAAACTTATTCAATGTAATTTCTTGCCAGTTTTTTCCTTCCCGCTCATAACAGAAACATACGCATCGTTCAAGGAAAGTATATAGCGATATTTTTTATATCAGTACAGCTAAAAATCTCTTTTCTTCATTATAAAATTTATGTGAATGCTCCTAACCTTCTGTTATTTGATCAAAGATCATTTTCAAATTCTCTTTCTACTATTCAAATTATTACGTAACGAACAACGTTGGCATACTTTGAAGGATAGACATGCCCGGGTAGCTCAGTCGGTAGAGCGTGTGGCTTTTAACCACAATGTCCAGGGTTCGAGCCCCTGCTCGGGCGGTCATCTTTTTTCTATATTGCCAAAGATCTTTTTCTGTTGGTACAACTATTATATAACGAAAGATCTTGATTTAATGTGGAGTGAAAGTCAGCCCGGGTAGCTCAGTCGGTAGAGCGTGTGGCTTTTAACCACAATGTCCAGGGTTCGAGCCCCTGCTCGGGCGATCTTGTTTTTTTTTCTTTAACGGGATACATAGTTTTCTATAATTCTTGCACTATCTTTATAACTATTATTTAATAAAGAAGAACGATTCACTGTGCAGGGTAGACATGCCCGGGTAGCTCAGTCGGTAGAGCGTGTGGCTTTTAACCACAATGTCCAGGGTTCGAGCCCCTGCTCGGGCGACTATCCTTTTTTGTTCAATAGAATATAGTTTTCGAAAATTCTTTTTCTTGTTTATGTCATGATTACATAACGCATAAACAACTATTGGCTACACAGGAAACGTGCCCGGGTAGCTCAGTCGGTAGAGCGTGTGGCTTTTAACCACAATGTCCAGGGTTCGAGCCCCTGCTCGGGCGACTCCTTTTTTCAACTTGGAAATTCAGTTCATTTTCCCTAATATACTAATCAAGTTCCGTAGGTCACTCACGATTACTTTTTTACTGTGCATTAAAAGTTGTACGTATTGCACTATTTAGTTTTGTGTTTGAAAACTCTATCAACACAAATAAGACCCTCTGTTTTATTTCCTCAATACACTCGTGTGCAGTTAGAGAATCATTCAAAGAGAATGGCATTACCAATGGTGAAATTATTATTCATACAGTCAATGATTAGTCATCATTTTTATTGTAAAATACCTAAGAACCAATAGTGCAACGTAATGTCTTCGCTACTCATACAGCTGGCACCATATTTACTATTCATAAAACTAGTCATATCTAGAGTAAATAATCGTCATTATGAGTTGTATTATCATGTAGACAGCATTTCTACCGATCTTTCCTTTTTAGACGTGTTCATACAAATGAATAGTGTTTACCGAATTGAGTGACGCACTTTGGAACCACTGATTTTCTATTAAGTAGCTCACGGCCTGTCTGTTCTAAAAATTGCAGCACGATCAAATGTAAAATGAGCAACACTAGCGTGTAGGGGATACGAACCAAGGTTGATTAGACATTTTTTACCGTTCATATGACGTTCAGACTTGTCAACAGTAAGGTTTTATGTGTTATATAACTGATCGACAGGAAAAAGTCTTCAACAATAGGCATGCCCGGGTAGCTCAGTCGGTAGAGCGTGTGGCTTTTAACCACAATGTCCAGGGTTCGAGCCCCTGCTCGGGCGACTCTTTTTTTTCTACTTCTAAAGGTGTTATTACGCAATTACATAGGAACCACTGAGATCTTACTCTGATATATATGAATGTAACTAATCCAATGTGTAGAAAGGAAAAAAAATTCTTTTTTCCTCATACAATCGCTGAGTATATTATTCTTAACCGTACCTCTACAAATCTGACGTTTTCGAAATCACATTTGTTGGATAATGAACCTGACCTGTGACCTTAACTTAATCAATCATACATATATACGTACTGCATGAAGGTTAAAACCAGGAAATGATTATGAGAATCAGAAAGATTAATATCGGTAACGTCAGTTACCGAGAAACAATAGAATGAAATGATATAGCAGACGTTTGACGAGCAGGTGCACATGTCCCAACAGCGCGATATGATCTGCGTCATATTTCTTTTCTTTATGTATTTCCTGATTTGAATATGATAACTATTATTAGCATTCCGTAATGGCATGACAATAGAAAGCTATCAAGCGCGAAAGAAAGAAAGAACGTCAATAAATATATATATCTATTCAACAAAGATAAAATCAATTTCCAGACCGAACCGAATGAATATCGTAGTTCAACAAGTATACTTACTATCGTGACACAGACAAAATGAGATGAACGAAGAGTATGAATGTTGGAAGAATGATAAGTTCATTGTTGTTTTCGATTCCATTATGTTGTCGGACGGATTTAGTTTTTATCGGATGACTTACTTATTTATTTAAATGATTACGAGTCATGAGATAAGACAATATAACATCGTAGAATCGTAGGCTCTCCACTTATTTTGTGTATAAGATGAAGTAATAAGACATGCATGATAAAACGACGGAAGAATAGAGCTTTTACTGCCTGCACTCAGTATTCATAATTAGTTCTTTTTTCTCAGATATTAAAAAGGAGTTGAATAGAAAAAACCGCATTGATCTCATAGAGACCAGTGTGATTAGACAGTCGGTCCAAGAAAGATCTTTATCGCTACATACACTCTTCAATAGAGAATAAAAGAAAATTTAAGAGATCTATCATTAACGCTCACTATATTTATAACGAAAGATGTATATTTATATGCGGTAAGAGTTGTCTCAATTGATGGAAAACGAATAAATTGTCAGAACTCTTCTCGTATGGAGTGTTTCTTGATGAATTTCCAAAATAGAAACGTGCCATTGAATGTAAGAATGACTTGGCAAGTAGTTGTTATCATGCAGAAAATTTCTTGATCGCTTCCGTACTATGTTACACTCACGTTTGAATCCATATTATGGAAAAGACCAGATGATTATCATATTCACGCCTACGTTGTAATGAATCGTGTGTTAGTTCAATCATCTATGTGCAACATTCATCTACTTACTGATGCGCAGTTCTCTATTACCTACGTTATAATCGGCAGATGCGTGATCAAAGAAAACTGTGCGTTTTGTTAATGCTCAAATGACATTAAATATATCCTTCAGATTTATAAAAGAATAAATGATAGAAAAATACTTCCTCATCAACTAAATATATTGATCTCTGCTCTTACTGCCATGAAATGTAAAGGTCATCAACCATCTCTTTCCAAACTATCTTTTCAATTATTATTCTTTTCTCACATAGATGGTGACAATTATCAAACGTTCATATTCATATATTTTTATCCTTCTAAACTAAGAGAAAGTGTCCTTGTCAGAATCAAGTTTTTTTCGAAGCCATATTCTGATTTGCTCGTTGACCCTTGTAATTTGAAGGTGTTTTGTTTGACACATTTGTCGTAGTAGTTGATATGCTCCGATGATTTGATTTGGGATTTTGTGGAACTAGATCGATCGCATATTGAAGACATATACGTTGAACGTCAACGGCATCTGCGTAATGAAAGGGTAGCGTCGGTCGAATAATCATTAGTTTTCCTCCTCGTGGAGATGCATTACGAACAAGCGGTGATGATTTCGATAGATTTTTTCGAGATTGATAATACTGTTTTCGAAGTATTTCTTCAATTCTACACACAAAGAAATATTCATCATGTGCGTGAAAGAAGATATTGAGATAATTACCTGAACGGATCAGCAGTTAAGTATGGAGAAAGGTATTTTTTTGGTGACATCGTTCTTGAACGTAGTTGAGACTTTCGCTGCTGGTTCAACTTTTCCGAAGCGCTTAATCGCCGCGATTCTGTTTGCCGTTCACGTTCCATTCTTCGAAAAACGCATTCATATGTTTGACACGTTCGGGAGACATGTTTTGGTGGACGATGTTTCGTCGGTTTCTCTATAGTTGTCTGCTGTACATCGTGATCATGATGCCCAACCGATTTAGAACGTTGTTTCGAATGTTTCTTATTTGGTGTAGGCGGATGCTCTTGATTGACAAATGCTTCAGCTGTTGTTGTGTAAGAATTTTCACCGTCGGAAAGTTTTTTAACAACGAGAGTGATATTCACGTTGACAGGATCTTTATCTTGATGAGAACCACTCAATTCTGTAGCTGTACATCGATCGTATGTGTTAGATAATGATTCTCGATTTGATGTTCGACGACGGGTAGAATGAAGATGTTCCGATATTGGTTTTGTCGCTTTCAATGGTTTTTGACGTTTCGGTTCTACATACATAATTATATGTATTTATATGCAACAAAGTGAATAATCGCGTACCTAATTCATCAGAGGAACTTTGTTGTCGCGGTTGTTTAGAGGAAAAAGTTGAGTTTTGTTTTTTATGGGCCTCATTCGTTCTTGGTTTAGTATTTTGTCCATCAGGATCAGTGTTTCTAGCTGATGTTGAATCGAGCGATTTATCATCAATGAGAGGAATATGTGTCGATGAGTTCAAACTAGCACTTCGTCGTGGTGGATGACCTTGTTTACCTTTTTCCTGACTTCTTACTGATTGCTTGCCATTACTGAAATGTATTGAAGGAATACTTGCATGTTTCATCCAGCCTCGAGTGGATGATTCATCTTCGCTGGGCGATGAGGAAGTGTATTTGTTTGATCTCGAACCATCAGACAGAAGCGGTGCTAGCTTTGTATTGGATGTCTCAGAACGGTTGAGTTTTTCTCGTTGAGGAGAAGATATAACTGAAGGTAGTTTCGATGGCATTTGCCGATCGAAGTCCGAACCCGTTGCAGATGTGCGCTGAGGTATAAAGAGAGAAATAAGATCTTTTTGAAGAATGAATGAGGTAGGATCGACTTACTTTTCGATTTTGTAGACCAGATTTCGAAGGGTTTGTAACCATGGGTGTAACCGTAGTTTCATCGGTGTATAAGCGTGAATGTCGTTTTGATCGGTCTTCCAAACGCCGTTGTGGTGGCGGTGATAATCTTCGATATTTTGTGCTATTTCCTGTCGTTGGTGTAGATTCTTGTTTATGTTTACTAGATGCTGTTCGAGTGTTGCCATTACTTAACGAGGTTGAATCTTGATGTTTAATCGAACTATTACGACAACGGTTTCAATCAAGAATATTCTGTTTAACAGGCAAGTAAGTAGTTTATATACCTCGTCTGAGTATCACTTATTCGACGTATGGGTGATTTCTGTTTTTCTGTGGGAGTAATTTGTTGTTTGAAATCTGTACTATTCTTTCGTTGGTCATTTGTCTGTTTGTCAGATACTTTTGATTCCAGAATAAGACTTTCTTGTTTATTGAAGATTTCTTGCTCAACAATGGTACTTCCTTCCCGACTGGGTTGTTTTCGTTGAGTACTATACGAGAAAGATAGTCGATTTCTTGTATTTTTCCTTTGGATACTCACTTGTCTAATACATCATTATGGAGCTCAGAATTACTTCCTCGACGACTATGAGATGTCGGTTCTGTTGACTCTTTGCTTTTATCATCATGTTCACTATAATAGTATTGACATAATAATTTCAAGTTGAGAATGTTTTGGCAACGTACCTGACCGATTGTGAATCAATAGTTTCTAATGGTTTCCTATTATCATCACTTTCTCGTCGATTATTGGATAACGCAATATCGTCTTCGATGACTCTCTCATTACCAACTACACTCGCCATTGAACTTTTACGACTCATCTCACTCGGTGATCTAGTTTGATCTTGTTCTGTACCGGTGAAGCTGTATTTTAATAATGGATTGAATAACATAATAGATCGAATCTCTCGTACTGTTGTTGGAGGTGGACTGTTAACTCGTTCATTAATGAATTCATTTGATGGTATTTGCAGTTGTTCAGTCGAGGGACTATGCGTCAACTCGTTGTTTGGTGTTAAAAGACGACTTGAATGGCTGCTATTAGGTCGAGTTGACTGTTGGTGATTGATGCTGCTTATGTTTTCTTTTGATGATTCCAATGAATAACATTGTTTTAGCAATGGATTTTTTAGATGATTGTCATCCAATTCCGTCGAATGATGCTCGTTTAAAGATTTTTCTTGACAATTTTCTTCATTTAATTGTGAATCATCGAGTACCGATGATCTTGAATGATTAATTAATGATATATTACGCTGAGGACTTTCAAGATTATGGTCAGTCTGATCAGGTGAGTGTGTAGATGTTGATGTCTAAGGTAAAGAGAAAGTGTATGTATGACATCAGCCATGAAAAATCTTACTTCTTCAGGTAATGTATGAATTGCTCGAAACCGTATTATTTCATCAAGATTATCTTGTTTAATAACGGCTGATGATGAAGAATTATCATCAACAGATCCTGTCTTTATCTCAAATTTCTCATGATCATCGTCATGCAATGAGTTATTTATAGGATTCTCTTCTTCAGATTGATTATCATTAGCATGACCAGATACATTCATGGGTGCTGTTTCTATACCATATACTTCCTCGCTATCGGATGAGTTTTCATCTTGACGAATCGGTAATGATTGTTCGTGTATAATTTGATGATTGACAATAGCTGACTCACTCAACGATCGTACGATGTCGTTTGTTGGATTTTTCGGTAAAGAATCCGATTCGTTACTGATTTCATCACCTGATCGAGACCGAACACCATCATGAGTAAACTCATGGTTTGTCAGTGAATGGTCAAATTTTTCGGAAACAGTCAGCGTACCTTCCAGTGGAGTCTGATGATCATTCTGTGCACTTACCGTTTTGCTAGCGTCTTTAATAATATGTGTGCTTAGATCACTAACATATGTGTCCATTCGTGAACGTTCGCCTAAAAAGAACAAATGAATGGTATATAAAACTCAATTTTCATAATCATAATCTACCTCGTTGAGGAGCTAACGGATTATTTAGAAAGAAACTCAAAGCACCATGTGTAATCGCTTGAGATAGTTGTGTTGTATCGTCAACTGCACTCATACTTTTGTTTATAAGAATTTAATAGCATTAGCAAAGCGATTCTTCAAATAACTACTTGAAATCTATACGAATAGACATCCCTCAATGCTAGCAAAAGCAGTGCTTTTTACTCACAACTATCCGATATATTAATTGAGATGAAGACTTTTCTCTTCTGTAATAAAAGAAATATATAGACCGATGAAATGATTTTAGTACACGTAGAGTTTCAGTTAAACAAATAAACTGCACTAAAAATGACTAGATTCTCATTCCAATTGAAGATCTTCAGGAATACAAATCGATGAAACATAATTGTTTTTCTACCTGTTTGCTTTTGATTGTCAATTTGTTGTCATAGGGAAAGTTGCTGATCAAGTAGTGTGTGATTTGTCAAGAAAAAGAAGTATGTTTTCCATTACAAACGAGAATCAGGCTAATGTATTCGATCGTCTAGTTTTGTGATTTTTCTTCGTACATAATCGAACGACGTGCGGAAGAAAAGAACGCGGGGAAAACCGATGACGACTTTTTTCCTTTTCTCTATCCTAGTTCACTTCGGAGTTAGTATGAACTGTGACTTGCTAACGGTTGGATTCTCTATGTCAGTTGAAGTCTAATTGATCTTATGCGACTACTTTCAACGTATGTTATACGACACTTCGAATATATATGAAGACAAAATGAAATTAAGAAGTGAATGTCAAAAGAGAACGAAAGCTCGTGGCGAATGAAACCAATTAAGTTTGACTAAATATCAATAAGACTTTCTTTTCTCGTTCGATTTACGTTTGAAGTGAAAAGGTATGGGTTTGTCACACAACAAGTTTTCATATATATTCAAATATATATCGAATGAACGGAAGAATAATAAACTTTGAGTTTTTATTTAATCAGCGCAACACAAATCTTTTGAGAATATTGATCTATTTCGATCAAGAAACGTTCGAAAAGCTGTTTTTTGCGAGAGGCATTGTAACAAAGCAAAATTAACCCCCGTAATTCATACAGCCTGGTAATTAATATGTAGTAGGTTTATATAAATGCAGATACCAGATGCTATATTTTGATGCCCGAATGTTATTTATCAACACATGCACTAAAGATAGATAAATACAAATTAATTGACTGTTGAATAATTAATAATATCAATTCATGGTATATTTATCTTATTGACATTCAAAAAAATTGTGATCGATGAGTCACTAGAACTTCTCTTTCGTCAACAATCGAACAAATCAGATTTTAATTCAAAAGTTGAACATGTTAACGAAATACACAAGATTGTTTGAATTATCTTACCTGTAAATTTAACATTCTGGTTTTCGTACTGCTAAGTACAATCATGAAAGATTGCGTGCATTTAATACTATATTTACAGATATAAAGCTATATCAGACATCTACCAACATCACAATCAGTCTGGCTTTATATCATTCATATATATAGATATTCATTTTAATCTGATAAATATAGGACAGGTGAGTATATAGGATATGGAAAATAAATCATAGTTGAACTTGATGCAATGCATAAATGATCACAAGGAGAATTAAGCACTACCACGTCAGTTTTTGATTCAAACAAAATATTTTTACGCTACGCGAATCTCTTCTGCAGTTGTCATGGGTCAAATTTCAAATGTTTGCATTTGCACTTCTGGAATATAAGAAATCCATGTGCTTTTTTTAAACGAAAAAAAAAGACGTTTTTCAAACGATCTGCCATCGACATTGCGAGAGCGAACGTTTTGTGTACACTGATTCATTCTTCTGAATATAACATGCCATTCGATAAACGATTGAGTAAAATTGGACTATGGTTATGTCTTCCCTTGCTGCTCATAGTATCGGCTTACTTGTACATCATATCTGATCTTGTTCATCAGCCGCGTTACTCTCTTGAACAAAAATTAGTTTCATTGAATAGTTCGACGTCGACTAGTACCAAAGCAAATTTACTCGATGGGAATCAGCCGTTAAATGGCACACCAAATGAAGGTTTCGTTACATATGTTGATAATAGCAGACTTTATTATAATCTACTAATTCAACTTCTCGATTCAATTCATTATTTTTCCACGCGACCTGTTATTGCCTATGGCATCGATATTGATCTTGATTTCGATACAAAAAAGTATCCTCGGTTGATTCAGCGTCGTTTAAACAAAAGTAATTGTGGAGGATCAGTATTTTTCTGTAAAATTCATGCTATCATCGAAAGTAAACTCAATTACGGCATACAAATCGATGCTGACAGCGTCGTCAATTGGAATATCGACATTCTTTTCGACGTTATTCATCGTTGGCCATATTCATTTCCACTGGCACCCCGTCACCCAACTCCTCCTAACAATATGGATTCGTTTTTCAAAGCATTCCAAATTGATAAGAAGAATCGCAGTATGCCCTATGTTCATGCACAATTTTCTTGGAACTATCGAGCATATCCCTTCTTCATTAGGACACTTCGATACATGCGTGAAGGTAATTTCCTAGGAGCAAATTATGATGAATCCGCTGTCAATGTTTTCCTATGGAAAGATCGAGCACAATATACTTTGTGTAGAATCGATCCATTTGTTGAATATCTACCCGCTTATGAAACTCAGGAACAGACATGTGCGAAAAATTGCCATGCAGTTTTTATGATTATTCACGGTGCAAAAGACGCGTCGATTGCGCGTCGTTCGTTTAAACATCTGAGAAAATTGAAAAGATTACCATTTATCCAAACGTCTTCACACGGTTTTCATTATTTAAATGAAACGCAGTTCACATGCTGTGAACCGGATAGTCAACCGTCATCGATTCATCCGTTGATTTGCGAATATCCTCATTGGAAATCGCGAAATTGATGTTGTTACGCTTTTCAAAATATTTGCAATAAAGTATGCACACATAATTAAACAAACTCAGATCTTTTCGGTTCGCTTTAAATTTGTCAAACGTCTATATCGGGTTAATGTTATGTTCGTAGTATACACGGACACTTCTTTTCACCTTCGCGTTCTAGTGTGCCATTGCTTTTTCTTTTCTAAATATCGATCTTTACTGATAAATTTCTTCGTCGTCTTAGAGAGAAACACGCATAGAATTGCCAAAAAGACGTTCTATTTCTCACGAACTCAAACAACGAAGCTACCGCCCTAACTACCATCAGAAAAAAAGAACAAGTGACTCACCGTGCTCCATGGTCGTTCTCAAAACATGTTGCGTTGTTTGTGTATATAATATAAACTATTAAAATGTCTCGAGTGCACATCATAGACACGTGGTTACACGAATTTTTGCAAATTGTTACGCCAGTTGACAAACTCACATTTCGAACATACATTTTTCATGTCCTTTTTGTTTGTATTTTAGATAGTATTAGTGAATACAAAGATGGATCTTCACTGTAAACCGCAGACAACTTTTATTGGTTTGATCGGTTTTATAGTTTTTGTGCTGTATATTTATTTTTTGCAAGTTTCGGGAGTTATGACAAAAATAATGAGATATGTTCCTGACGATTTCTTGTCGGAGCTATATCTCTTTTCATCTGATGATTCGGCGCAGCTTCTTATCCATGGATTACCACTGAACAGTACTCCAAATGAAGGTTTCGTTACATTCTCCGATGGGAATTCTCGATATCTTTCTCTTTTAATGAATCTCTTGGATTCTGTTCATCAATTTTCCACCAGGCCGGTCATTGTATATGGCATCGATATTGATCTCGAATTCGATCCTGAACGATATCCTCGATTGATTCAGCGCCGTTTGAGCAGAAACGATTGCGGTCCATCGATCTATTTCTGTAAAATTTATGCAATTATCGAAAGTAAACTCGATTACGGGGTACATCTAGAAGCAGATAGTGTCGTCAATTGGCATATTGATGTTCTTTTCGATGTTGTTCATCGTTGGCCATATCCACTTCCACTTGCCCCTCGTCATCCCGATGATCCGGAGAACTATTATATGTTTTTCCGCAAACATCGAATCAGCCGTCGGCGACGTTTAACTCCGTATGTTCATGCGCAGTTCTCATGGAATTACCGAGCATATCCATTTTTTCGACACGCTCTTAAACTAATGCGAGAAGGCGATTTCATGGCGGCGAATTTCGATGAGACAGGTATCAATATTCTTCTATGGAAAGCCAAGGCCAATCATACATTTTGTAAAATTGATCCTTTTTTCACTTATCTACCAGCTTACGAAAGAAATCAATTGACTTGTGATAAGTACTGCCATACAGCATTTATTTTCGTTCATGGTTCGAAAATTTACGGCGAGATGCGTGATGTATTTCATCGATTGATAACTCATGCAGGTTCACCGTACATCCAAACACGTGCGAATGGTTTCCATTATCTAAATGAAACACAATACACATGTTGTTATCCCGATAGTCAACCATCGCCGATTCATCCGCTACTCTGTGAATATCGCAAATAAAATAAAATAATTTTCATAGAATGCCGAATTTGTCAGGTGTAAGTTCAAATTAATTTTATTGACAGAAGATTTCTAAAAAATACACCTGAGGCGCTAATAGTATCTGTAGAGAAAAGCATAATGTATATATATATATATATATATATATATATATATATATATTAATGAACGGGAAACATCTATTCAATTTCAGTGTTAACTGTTTTTGTTTTGGCTAACACACATGTCTCCAAGGCAAGAGAAACAATATCTATTGTTCTTAATCAAAGTACATTATTCATCGACAAATCGAACGTTGCTCACTTATAATCAATCAGTGAATGGGTCAGATACATTCGGAATGATTTGTTTGTTATTGTACCTGGCTAATTGATACTACTAAAAAACTATAAAGTACGTGCGATCTTTGTATCTCTGGTGTATGTTTACTTTGAAATTCAAATCGAGAAACTAGTAAGTAAATCCGTGTGTTTATGTATATATTGGAGGCGGAGTTCGCGTATTCTGTCAACACTGTTTACTCATACATGCAATAGAACGATCTCTTTTCATAACAGACCATTTGTCTTGATTAAGCACTGAATTAACATCGTCTTCGTCGACTTAATTCTTAGATAATTCATTTATCGCGACGAGAATCTCTTTTTCTTTTCTCATCAATCACCATATTTATAGATTCATTTCATCGAGTATTTCACCTCCGAATACTATCACAAACAGGCCCTTGTAAACAATATCTACAACATGTTGATATTCGATACATTTGAATACAAAACGAAGTTTCGTTATAAATCATTCCCTTCATCTGATCATACATATCGATCTATCGCCTACGTTAATATCATATCAAAACAGCAGCTGCTAGTTTTCTTTCCATTTTCACTTATCATTCGATCTTCCAATACAACAATACACGTCAGCATTTGGAACGTTGATTACAAATGACGTACTATTACCACTATTGTTCAAGTAAGAATTCAGAATTGCGAGTAGAGAAAAATAACAAGACGATTAATCATACGAAAGGCACGTAAAGAACTAACGATGCTTCAATAGAAAAGTCAAACAAAACAAAAAATGTTTCTGTGTGTACAATTAGTTTTCACAAACAATCACTTCCCTTTTCTATTTAATCGGTAATCTCAGTCAACATTTTCATTCGTTACGTCTAATCAAAATCACTTTTTCTTCAGCTTGAGACTTCTGGTTTTAGATTTCATGTCAACGAATGTCAAAGTATTACACATCTGTTTTGTCTCTAATCTCTACATAGGTATCTCTCGTTTGCTCCCTTTTTCTTCGTCTTCTGTCTATCAATTCGAATGATTTCAACGCCTCTCTATCAGAGATTATTTTGTTCTTTTTCTTTTACTGATCCCTATCGATAGTATTGAAGTGATTACACATCACTCTATACAACTATTGAACCTAATCTTTTGCGCCTTTCCGTTTGACATGATCGATCACTATTACTTCTTCATTGATAAATATGTTCGACGTCTGATCTTTCTTTTTTCTCTCTTCTTATCGCCAATTTTTGTTGTCTCTCTCTCTCTATATATATATATGTTGAGTAGCATTTTTGGCACTCTCTGACATTTCAATTGAACATTGAAAGAATTGTGATGGTGACGATGACGCTGCTAGGGTTATACAACCATACATTGGCATACATCTCGACGTACATAACACAGCAGTGTGATATGCAGACAGAATGAGCGAACAAACGAATATGATCCGCTTATAGACGTGTGTAGAGTAGTAAAAACGAAAGAAAGAGAGAAGAACAATCACCGATTCCCTTTTTTTTCTTCTTTTGCGTTCAACATCTTACATATACGTCTTGTTCGTCTTTACTTGGTCAAATAATAGACAATGATCTGAACATTTGATCGGTGATTTATTTGAAAAATACATCGAATGTATCATCAGAAACAACAACTGAAAGTCAATTGTAAGTTTCACTCCAATCAATTCATTTACTTTACATTATAAAATGACGTAAACGATCCAAGAGAGTGAGAGCTATAAATATGAAAATATACATGCACGTTCGACTCAAGTGTTTGTTGCGTAGTTCTTTTACTTTTCTTTTTTTTTCTCTTCTGTTGTTTTTACTCTTGGAAGAAGAAGTAGAAGAGAAAAAAGAAACAGAGGCAAACACATCTTGTCACGTCGTATTATATGCATCTATCAACAAAACACTTGCTTATGATTCTTTCGTTGTAAAACCTTCATCACCATTATTAGGTTCTATAACATACTTGTTTTCATATTTTTTCGTCGTTGATAACTTTTTTTTCATCGAGTAACATGTAATTATGTATTTTATGTTGTCAACATGTATATCGATGGTGAGCGTATGCGTTTGTATTATGTACGTTTTCTTCTCGTAAGACAATCAATAGGATGTCGAGAATTTCAATTCACATGCATTTTCTAGTTTTACTACGCACATGAGTCATCGCTTAAGTTGATAAAATAAAAGCATTAGATTCTCGATATCTTTTTCATGATAAAATTTGAAAATACACTTTCTATTTGTTTGCTTAAAGATCCAATGGCGACTCCATCTAGTAATGCTTCACAAGCTTCCAAATCGCGTGGTCATTCCCTGTTTGATCGTCAAGCACAAAGGCATGGAGGTGATTTGAACAAAGAAGCGAATTCTGCTATTTTGGATATTTCTGTTCCAACAACACCATTAAGACCTTTTCATTCGGTATTAACTCCATCTACTTCGTCAGTAGCACAACCACATCGCAAAATACCGTTGACAGCGACAGAATCATATCCACATTCAAACGACACTAATGTTCGATTAATTAGTGTTAACCCAAGACCGGAGCCGGTTTATGTTAAAGAAGTATCATCCGTTACACAATCACCACCGTCCCTGTATCCACCACTAGAGTCAGTTTCCACCCACTTGCAGGAAACTGAGTTTCCCTTGTATGAAAATTCTTCGACAGATGAACCTGAAGACGTTCTACCTACGAATACGACGTGCGCAGCTATTGTTGAGCAAGCTTTCGATTATCTCTCATCTCATGACGACGACGACGATGTTATTCACGAAGCACATCATGATGAACAAGATGATTATAGTCAAAGTTTTGATGGTGATGACAATGAAGATCACAGTAGCAGCACAAATGAACTTGATGGAACCACAACTATTATTATTCATCAACAAACGGACAGTAAGTTTGAAATTTTCTCTTCGTTGACAACATATTGATCCTATCAAATATCTATCGATCTAAATTTAGAATTCGAGCATTTCCTATGAGGAATTTTACGTTAGATTTATGAATATATGATGACTTTTTCTCTTTCTCTTCTGTTCTCTTCTACATTTGATCTCAAGAATATTAGATATGTCGTGCTTCATAAATCATACCAAGCTATCTTTGAAAGGCTTGACCTTGACTGTTAACGTAACGAACATGTTACTCGTGCCGATGTGAACATATGTGACGCCTAAGCAGGAAAAAGATTTTTTATTCAATTGTTTATATCGTTTGAAGACATGAGAGGAAGCATACGAACGAACAAATGAAAACTAAATTAGTCTGATATTTGTCAAGGTTTAAACAGAAGAAAAAAATCATGCTTGTGTTTTCGAATCAATCGTTTTTCTTCGTACATAATTAGATCAGATCATTCAATCCAGATTTTCAAAATTGACGCTCGACTCTTTCAGTCCCAAGGTTAGTCATCTGTAGACTAAATAGACTGACAAGATTAAACCTAAATTGAATAAATGACATTATCGTTTGCTCGTTTTTTTTTCATGGCTGCACAATGCCTCATCGTTTGAGCCGAGAGAGAATACGCGTGTCAGAAAATCAGTCGTAGTCGATGCATGCTCGACAATCCTGTGGAAGAAAGACGGTCAAGTTAAGAAATAAATTTCGTAGAGATAGAGTTCAATACAATTAGTCGGTAATATTGATCATCACAGATGACCTTGCTATTGAATCGGATGACTAAATGCACTTCTGCAGCCTAGTATACATCTAGTTTTTTTTATTCAAACGCACGTACACTCTATTGTTAGTCTTGATCGGTAGTTTCAGAAAAAGATAAGACAAATTTCGTCGACACGTTTTACTTTCATTTGCAAAATCTTCATTTTTTATCATGTTCGTCTTTGTAGGTGATGTTTCTCCATTAGCGATAACGGAAATGAATGGCAATCCAACAAGCGAAGACAAATTCGATGATCAACAGATACCAACAGCTTCTTCGAGTCGAAGTGGAATGAGTAATGAAGATTATGACAGTGATTTCGATGACTCATCACCAGAAGATGACGAACAAGTCATCACAAAAGACACCAGTCTTGAAGACGAAGAAGAACAGCAGAATCAAATCCTTGTACGACATAAATTATGACAAGTATTGCAATATCGATTTATTTTCCATTTGTAGATACGTCAACAACAAATTCTATGGGGCATTGTTCAAGAATGGTCCAGAAAAGAAGAATCTTATTGTGAACAATTGCAAAGAATGGTGGAACAAGTAATAAATAATCTTCATTAGTTTCCTCATTCTTCTCATTCATGTCGGTTACTTATAGTTCAGTTTTCTGTCCAATGCAAACGACGCACAAAAATTAATTCAAGAACTGATCGATAAACACAAACAGATCTATCGAGAAATCGAAGATCTTTATGATTGTGATCAAAAATTGGACGACCTAATAAAGCGTTTAACAAAAACAGTTGATACATTAGTATGATTCCACCCTTGACAACTCTCTCAAGCAAAATTGTTACTTCTTTCGTCTAGATGGACACATTGCCTGTATATATTGGATATTTCAAACAAAATTTAGCACCGATCAAAAAGTCATTAGATAAACGAGTAATTCCGAATGGTTTAACGAGCGAAGGTACGAATCTTTTCTCTCTGAATATGATTTTTTCCGCATTGAAATACATTTTAGATCTTCTATCAGTTCCTCCTAAACAATTCCTGCAAATTCTTTCTCAAGTTCAAGTAAACTAACAGCTATGCTCTAGCATACGAAAATTCATTTCGATATAGGATTTGTACCAAACGTCACAATCATTCGAATGCGACGACAAGGAGTGTTTGAATATTCTTTACCATCACGCGTCAAGATGCCGAGTGTTTGGCGTATGTCGTGCTGCATTCCCTTCGATTAAAACCGTCTTCTGTTTGATTCTAGAATACACAAGATGAAAACATTAATAAAGTTATCCTGAAAAATGAAGAAGTGATAGTCAAATCATCGCGTGATCATCGAGAGCGTTATCGATTAGTTTTGTATCCTGATGCAATCGTTTGCTGTCATTTAAAGTCAAAGTTGCTCGCAAGGTAAATGAAGCAACATAATTACACTCATTATGAATAATTCGACGTTTTTCAGTCCAAAATATGTTGTTGTATGGTTCATTCCAATGATTGACCTACAATGGGAAGTTCCTGAAAAGTCCGCTGATGAGAATGCTGATACCGGTGGTAAATATTTTGTCTTTCTACTTCTCTGAAAATTCATTCGAGACAAGGATATCTATTTGTTTAGACGAATTGAAAACCAGTCTGAAATCAGTATATAAAGAATTAGAACGCGGACCGAAAACCAATGTAAGTCATATACAATGTTTGACAAACTTCCCTCTCCATGCTTTATCTTTAGACAACACGTTTGTCAAAAAATATTCGTAAACACGAGAATGAATTTCAATTAGCACAATCAAAACTTCAACTTCTTCTATCGAACACTTCGCGCCGACCGGCAACGCCACCCCATGTGATTCTCTTTTCATCGGCCTACCAATTACAAGATTGGGTAGATTTCATCGACAAAACCAAACAAGATCTTGTACAACGCAATTCAGGGGTCATGGAAACAGGAAATCATGCACCTGCACGTTTGACTGACTCGATTATACAAAAACGATTGGATTTGATTAAACCAAATGTTCATGAAACTAATGCCAATGATTCATCGTCGACCATTCAGACGTTAACGCCGAGTAAAACATATTCAGGCACATTGTATATCAGTATACACAGTATACTTGGCTCGGCTTTGCATAGTCCTGGACGGCAATGTCAAACTTTACCATTAGCATCTTCAGCACAACAGAAGATGCAGAAGAATTATCAGTTTTATGTTGCGGTAGAAATCGATTCATACAATACATTTTATCCTCATGCACAAACTTCGAGACAAATTATGCAACAAAAGGAATCCGTTGAGTTCAAAGACGAAGTATGTCTTTCAAATGAGTATACAGAAATAGAGAAACTTTTCGGCACTACTTTCATACTGATCATTGTTTATCGTAGAGATATGAAAGTCAGATTTGTTTATTAGATAGTTGAGTTAAACTGTTACATCTTGACTAACCACATGGACAAATAACGAAAAAGAAACTTCACCTTTGTTCTCATTGAGGTTTTCCACATCGAACTGGAATATTCGCTAGCATTTCGTTTACTTATCTACCGTATTGATACTGATACTCGAAGCAACGATCATAGTTTACAACGTCCAGTATGTATTGGTAAATTTCATCATGATGTAAGTTAACGCCGAAGTTCTTGTTTGCCAAGCAAACGTATTTTATGTTTACTTAGATCGAAACCGCACTACGTGACTGTCAACGTAGTCCCAGTGGAACGATTTTTCTTGAGTCACAATCGGGAGATTTGAAACTAAAAATCTCGTTGAAACACTCCAAACGCGATGGAACATTTAAACGTCAAGCATCGAAACGAAGTCTCGCTGTATTCAGGAAAAGTATTGAGAAATTAATGAGCACACCAAGTGGACTGTAAGTTTGCGAACATTATCCTCGCGAAAGCAATCTTTTTCTTCTTTGGATATTTCAGTATCGATGGTATTCCACGTATTGTTGTTAAATGTATTGAAATAGTTGAACGTGATGGTTTGACTGAAACGGGCATCTATCGCGTATGTTGTGTCGCATCTGATTTACAAAAGCTTCGTCATGAATTCGATCGAAATTCTAATCGCGCTGAGGAAATCCTTGCTCAGAAGAACGTTCATGTCGCTGCTAATCTACTAAAACTTTTCTTCCGTGAATTACCCGATCCATTATTCAGTAGTGTTCTCTACAAACAGTTTCTCCATGCGGTACAACTAACTGACATTGATAATCAACGTGTCACACTAATAAACACCATCGACTCATTACCTGCTGCGAATCGAAAGATTCTCTTCTATCTATTCGATCATCTTATACGTGTTAGTCAGTATTCCAATCAGAATATGATGCATTTAGAAAATCTAGCCGTCGTTTTTGGTCCAACGCTAATGCGTCCATCGCAATTGGTCATAACGACAATTTATGCAGATAACAGCAATCAACGTTCGAATGCTGTTGGAAACGGTCAAGGAACGTCGACTGATCTTGATCAGATGTCTTCAGAACTGCAAGGTTCGATGTATCAATGTCAGGTTGTTCTTGCATGTTTAAAATTACGACGAGATCAAATCTTGAAATAGATTTTCATGATGAAAAGACCAACATTATTTTTGAATTCCTTCTTTACAGTGAAATGAGTGGAAGACCTAATCAGATTTGAATGTATTTTTGTTTTTGTGTGTTTGATTCTCTTTTGCATTCGTCTATACACATATACATATATCAATGCCACAGTTTTTTTTTATAATCTTTTTTTTTATATACATTACGATGATGAAAAATATCAAACGAACAGTTTCCGATTGTCATTTAGAGAAAGAATTGAATGTTTATTTGTCATATTAAAAGCTCGGAGTAAAAAAAAATTGTTAACAACAATCAAAGCGATCACATTATTGCAGTAAATAGTACAAGTGAAAATTTTTTTGCCTGTCTGTGTACAGAGTTACAAGCATTTGTGAGTAAAATGCTCGAAGAAGAAAACAATGAGAAAAGTAAGCTCGATTAACAATTCGTTACCATTGAAGATGTTTATCAACGTTGACGTCATATTATTCCGGTTTGGTATCGAGCCATAAACAATGTAGACATTTAGGCACGGGTCCATGTGCTTCGAATTGAACGCGCCCAATTTCTGTCATATCTCGGGCATTCAATACCAGAAGACTCACTTCGTTGTCATGATTTGTTCGCAGTAACGAAACAAGCAAGACACCATCGTCTTCATCTCCCTAAAGTAACAAAAGTAATTGTGTCTAGACGAATTAGTTGAGTTCTGTCTTACTTGTTCATTGTCAGGATTTCGTAAGAAGATTGGTTCGGATGTGTAGCATCCCTCCTCGTGCCAACTGATCGTTGTTTTTGAGAGAATATCAATCTTTCGAAGCTAAATAACAGAGAAAGATGAATTTCGAAAGAAACAGTTTTCTAATCTTACTGCTCCACATTGTTCATAGTCCACATCACTATTGATCGCATAGAAATATCGATAAAATTTTCCGTGGAATTGATTATAATCGATTTGTGGTAATTCACAACCAACATCAGCAATCAATTCCGGTTCGATCCAAAGGTTGTTGGAGTCCAACAATGTTACTTTACATGATGAATAATCCACACCCAATGGTTCGTTTCCATCGCTCTCTAGTGACAATGGTAAAACGAATCGTTTTGGTCGGCCACGAAATTGTTTAGCAAAGTCGGGATTCAGTTGACCTTTCTACAAAATAAACGTCTATTATGTATAAGTTAAAAAACATTTGTTGAATCCGTACTTCAAGTTCCTCAATTGTCATACATTGAAGCATGTCGGCATTTTCATAACAGCAGATATCAATAACAACGTTATTTTTATCTTCATAGGCGTTGATGGTATGAAGAAAGAAGAATGCTGGAGCAAGGTAGATGTATTCATCATGTTCGGCCATTGTATGACGATTAATCAAGCGAAAACGCACCTAAGTATAGACATTTATGTATGAAAGAAAACTTGATTCTATTCTGGAAATACATACTGGCTCGTTTCCATACCAAGCGAATGCATCTGTCATCGGACCATGTGTTATTGTCAACTGAAGAACTCGTGCAAGAGATATACAAAGTGATTGTTCAACAAGAACAAAATAATTTTCAGTGACAGCAAATGTATGCATATACGACGGATTGAATGACCAACGGCATGGAATTTTGGTTAAAACTCGGCATTTTTGCATGAGGTTTTCCTCCATATTGCTTTCTGAACCACCTAAACGAGCAATTTTTTTCAATGAAGAAATATGATATTTTTATCTCATACCTGGAAACTCGAATATAACATAGTTCATACCGGTGAAGCCTGATGACAAACCAACGTTGAACACGGTACCATCATTGAGGACAACTGCATGGCCACAATGAGAAACAATAGGCACATGTTCACCTACGTGAAATTTAGAAACGGTTTCAATAGAATCTGGGTCAATTTCATGCATGACTGGCGTCTAAACGGTGATAAAACACTTCATTAAGTAAATTTTCCATTCATTTTTTCTTACAAACCTCAGTCATCGCGAACAGCGCAACTTTGTCCTTTTTTACGCGATACGGATAAATGCTGATTAAAGCATTGTCTGAACGAAAGTCGTTCTTCGACTCAAACAACTGTTGAAATCTACAAAAAGACAACGATAATCTTACGTAAGATTCTTAAAAGTATAATCGAAATCCTTACCTAGAGAAAAACCACGCCAAGCTTGATCCGGATTTATTCTTTGCATTCAAAGCATCGGATTCATCCTTATCCTTTGCTGTTCCATATTCCGAATAACAGGACCGGCCTGTTTCGTATGCTTTCTTATATGCATCGGACTGCAGAATTCGATTCTGATACATAACATGACCATTGGTGACCGTAAATCTATTGTAAAAGAGATGATGAAGAGAGAAAAAAAAAGCATCGATTTAACCTACTTTTGAATCAATGCAAAGGCATCGAACAGATGATTGACTCGCTGTCCAGTTACATCGAGAAGACCAGGACCGTTTTGATACAGACAACCATTGATCCATTTTGGAATAGTTCCTTTAGAAGAGAAATTGTTCGAGAATTCTTGATGAACGCAGTTTATGTCTTACCTGTTACTTTCCCGACGATAGGCTCTTCCGTAGTACTGGTATCATCTACCGAACGAAACCAAATACCAAAATCACAGTTGGGATATAAGACCGATGATTCCATAGTTTGATAGAAGTTGTGTGTTGTGTTTGACTGACTGCAAGAATTACGAAAGTGAAATGAACTAGAACTGTTTGTTGTCGCGGCATCTTATACATACAAGAGCGTAGGAGAAGCTTGCCCCGGGGGTAAAGAAAACGATGTACTAGACTTGAAAAAAACGGCATGATAATTTCCAGAAGGAAGAAAAAAAAGGATAGCTGATTAAAGCGTGCATGACAATTGAGCATCTTGTTTGTCGCATAATGAGTCAGGCTTGCGGAGTTATTTCTTTATATTTGACAAGCGAGGAATTAAAGACAATAATCAACTGATGACGAGTTTACACATGTAAGAATTTGATCATTCTCTGTAAAATATCGTACTTTCAACCTCATCCTACTTCAGCATCAATTTAACTATATTTAAAGTCGTTCAATTCACGAAAAAAGATCTACACGAATATTCTCGGCTATTTTGGTCACTGAAAATGCTATGCAAATAAGTAGATATATTTCGAAAGTTGACAAAAAGAACTGCATACATCTGGAATGGTGTTCGATGAATTTTGATCTCTAATGGCGTAACGCATTGAGTGGGAGCAGTCCGAATTAGTGCTACCTACTTCCGTTTGGTACCTGTAGTGCACTCTTCATGAAAACAATATTAGCTATTTTATTTTAAGTTTTCCGTTAGAGGGAACAAACAGACATAATCATAACGCTCGCGGTCGTTCAAGCATGCTGCTGCAAATCACATAATATTAATTACGAAGTTTATTTGCCAGATTATGCATTTATTAGATATTTTTATCATCGCGTTCATGACTTATATACAAAAGCAGCAAACAATGAGGCCATTATGATTTCATCCAGTATCAGGAAAAACAGATTAGAAAATTTCTCCCAGCAAGTGAGTTATATAACTAAATCTCATCTAATATTAGTGCACTAATTGTCTACAATTGTTTCTGGCGAGTTTTTTTTTGTAGACTAATCCTAAATCAAGATTATTTATTCTTTTTTATTTTTACGTTTGACAAATTCGCACTTATGCTGTGTTCTATTTACAGCTAAATTGAATGCGTGAACGGAAACATTCTCGTTCTATTTCTTTTCTGTCCTTTTTCGTTCATATTCGTCTCGTGTTTACCTCTTGAAGGATATCAATGATTCGCGTTTAGGTTTATTGTTAGCGACGTCTATCTAGACTCGAATTCCTTTCTCATTCAAATCATTTAACGAACTAACAGAATGTCTTGCGAACATCCAGCCTGTTCGTCTGAAGCGCATCTAATTTGTTCATCTCACTGTCACTTGTCAGTATGTGAGAAGCATCGATTCGAACACGAAAGTGATCTTCGGAGCGAAATTGAAAAGCGATTGAAAGAAATTACCGATCCAATCTCGACAATACTTCTTCAAACACGACGAGAACTTGAACAGTCTGAAGAAGCTTGGCAACATGAATCAAAACAGGTCAACTCACTTTTCGACCTTCAGCAAATATCCATTGATCAACGTTTGAAGTTAATCGAGCAAACCAGAGAGTTGTTAACTAGAAAACGTGAGCACTTAAATAAACATAAAGCCGGTGAAATTCAGCTAACAAAAGAAGATTATCAAGAGCTAGGAGTAGCTTTAAATCAAATAAATAAAGAAGATTATCAACCAGATCCATCGAGTATTCGCACGGCGTCGCCATCGATAGATACTAAACCACATCACACGTCGACAGATGTTGAATACATCGAAATATCCGATTCCGAGTAAGAATTCGATGAGTGTTTTTCTTCCTCTCTCACAATCCAGTTCATTTTTAGCAACGACTCATCACCACCTACGGTCCTAATCTCGACAAGTAATGAAAAACCACGCCCAACTAGTTTACATCTACACCGTGACATATGTCCATTGACAAAGTATGGTGTTTTTGGTCTGGAAAATGTACAAGATATCAAACGCTTTTGTCCGATTGACAACAAAACTCCCGTGTATCTGTACATTCACTTCATCCGAACACACAATATTCGACCATATGTCGCCACTAAATTAGTTCGAGCTCTTCGTAACCGATGTAATCTAATGGAAACGAAAATCTTCGAACAAATCAATAAGCAAACTCTTCAATGTCCATTTAATAAAAGCGCCCTGAAATTCAATGAAGAAAACTGTATTCCAAAAACACCATGTTATTCTCTACTTGATCAAGATGATTTCAAACGACATTTACGTCAAGTTCATTCAATTACTAAAATGAACACCGATCTAATCTACGATGCGGTAAAAGAGTACGGAACAATCAGTCGTGTGCAATTTGAAGAAGATTTATGTGAATAAGATATCTTTTTTTCATGATGAAAGACATTTCACACATTTTCAAGGAGATTCGACATGTGTTGACTAGAAAAAAAAACTAAAAGTGTGTCTTTTTTTCTTCATTACTCTTGAGAATGTGTGATGGATTGTTTTACCAATAAATCCTACGTAGGAACTGTTAAATTATTCTTTACCTATCAAAGGAACATGATGACTTTATCTTAGTGGTTAGCATCATCAACCATTCGAACTTTGATGTACTGACAAGATAAGGTTTAAAAGAGGGTGTTTTTTATTTTCATTATAATTTTTCTTGCGGAGTATGATTATTCAAAAACTTTTGATACGTAATCAACGCATCAAGGAATTCCACTTGAAAAAAGCGATTATCAAGATGTTCCTTGATTATTTTTTTGTTCTTCACGTAAGTTTCTTATCTTACGTTTAATATGAGCACCAGCATATTTTTCGTATTTGGCTTGCCATTTCGGTTCTCTCCACCAATCGAACTTCAATTCACCCTCACAGTTTTTCTCACCACATTTACATACTAAACCAGTCCATAAACTATTTTCGGAATCCATTAAACCATAATGATAAGTCATTTCTTCACCAGGTTGAATATCTCGAATGGCAATGACAAGTTCTTCTTCGTCACCACCGAAACCACAATTCGGATTACATGAATGATTAAACAATAAGCAATCTTCGGTTGTTTCTTGCGTCTTATAATGACGCGGAACGTCAAAGAGATCATCGTCAAGCATGTAAGTGTAATACCGAATGTATTCAGCAGCTTCAGGATAAGCTTCCATCAGAGCAAGAACTTGAGCCTTTTTCAATTTATTTGTTGGATCTTCGAGTCTATAGTAATTACAATTGGGTAGATCACATGTAAAGACAGGTTCACCAGCTCGAATTGGCTCGAGAGCGACCACACCGCGCTGTTTTTGCCCGTATTTTGAGGACAAATCCTGAACTTCCATCTTCTTGAGAAAAGGCATCGTATCTTGTCTAAAGTGACACTTTTTGAAATAATATGAAGACAACGAGAGAGAAAAGATGCAGATATTTATATAGGCAAAGTGACCTTGGCTGGTAGAAAGAAATCAAAGTACATGTAGAACGATAAAAGGACACCTACGTTATTTATGATCTAGCCTTTAGCCTAAATGAAAAAGCAGCACATGTGATTCGAGAATAAAATTGAATAGAAAGCTAAGAATGGTTCCATTTCATTTTAATCTTTTTCATTATTCTACGATTGAGACTTGGATCGAAAGCAAAATCACCAGAAAGACTGCATCTGTGAGAGATAGACATATGCAGGTCGAAGATATACTTATCAATATATATTTGATAGTACTTTTTTCATTCAACATCATTGTGGAGTTCGGGTAACATACAAAAAAAATGAAAACCCTGGGAATGAAGATGTCACACAAAAACCTGTAGTTGTGTACGTCTTGAAATTAAACGTTAGATTTGTAAACTAAAGCCTGAATTTTTGAGTTACCGATGTGAAAATGTAGGATCGGCTTTGATTTCAAAGATCATTACTGACGAATGCATATAAGTAACATATGATGGATCGAATAATTCGTCGCAATTTACCTAACGAGAGAGAAGAAAAACATAGAAACTCTTGCAATGAACCCATCTATCGAAAGGGAAAGATGTCGCACTCAGAACAGAGTTCGAAACAAAAGTTGTCGTCAAGGAAGGTTCATTATCAATGGTTGTTTAACAGAAATCGTTTGACTTAATTGTCAAAAAACGAGTTCTGACAAGTAGTTTTATAATTAAATAGCTTCTGAAGAATGTCTACACGTGCTGGATCGAAACAAGGACGACCAGCGGGTAGATCCATAACAAAATCATCTAAAGATCAAAGCAAAGGCGATAAACAAGCGTCGACTGTTATTGAAATTGTTCCTGGCAAATTCAATGAAACAGATTGGTTAACATTATTAGAAAATGATGATACAGAAGATTTTATTGCTGGAATATTCGAAGACATTTGGACAGATGCATCCAAACAGATCCAACAATTACATGTGCAAAAACAACTATTACCATTTACACTGATGATTACAGAAAATGCTTTGTCCAATGTAATTCAGGTAACAAGAACTAGAAAAGTGAAATATAATGATAAACAATCGAGTTTTCGTTCCATTTAGTGGGCATTCTTGGAAAGAGATGAACCGAATCCAAGTTCAGGTACTTTTTGGACAGAAGATGCAGGTAAACGAAAAGAATTTATTTGTTATTTCGTTTAAAAATGCATTCTGATTGATCATTGTAGAACCGATACCGTGTCTTATGGATAATTGGGGTGAAGGTGTTGTGCCAGCGTGTCGTGAAGAACAGAATCCAATGTGAGTTTAACTGAATTTTTAATCATACTTAGTATTCATTCGATTGTGTAGGCTGGAAGAGTCGCCTACACCAACGATTGGTCGTCCAGTATCGGCGCCTGTTAGTGTTTCTAAACACAAAGCTATTGATCGAACTCAACGTCCGTCGACGGGATCATCTACAAATAGTTCCGTTCATACGTCACGTTCGGGTAGTCGATCGAAAAAGCTCCCAAAAATCATCGAATCTGTGGATAGTCAACATCAAGTCAAGCTTGATCCATGGACACAGACTGACAATGATGAGCAAGCACTCAATCAGAACGAATCATCAACTGAACAAGAAATCAGTCAAACAAGCTTTGATAGAAGATCTTACAATCATGATGTACTCGTGATTCAAGCACAACCACCTAAGGTAACACATTGTTCATCAAAATCAATGATACCATGTTTCCAAGTTTCATCTTAAGTTGGAACCATTGACTGAACTGTTTGGTCCACTACGAATAGCAACAAATAGTTCATCGACTCAATCAATTCCATTGACAAACAATACAAAACGGCGACCATTGAATGTGTCAAAGACGTCATCACAATTTGGTTCAGATTATATTGCATCGGCCACAAATCTAAGTGATGCAGCTAGTGTTAAAAACCACAGGAAACTTAATGAATCGAAAATATCTGATGAGCAACAGATTGAAGAAGCTATTTCGAAAGCTCCCGTCGC